CGGTCTGCAGGGGCCTCCGGGCTCCTCCATCTGTTTTCAGGGAACTCGCCTTGCACAGCCCTGGCAGCCTGCAGTGAGGGTCTTTGCAAGATGCCCCCAGGGAAAGCTGTGAGGCTGAGAGACTTCCTGCAGGTGCAGAATCTGGCCTGCCTGTCCCTCTCCTGGGCACAGCTTTGATTGTGGCTGATGCGAACCGACTTCCTGCAGGTGCAGAATCTGGCCTGCCTGTCCCTCTCCTGGGCACAGCTTTGATTGTGGCTGATGTGTACCCTTATCCTCATCCATGCTGGTCCCTGCTCGCCTTGGACTCCAGGGAGCTCAAGCCCTCTAGGTGGCTGGGCCCAGGCATGCACCCCTGGCTTCCTGCCTCTGTCCATTCCCCTCATTTCCTCGTGACCTTAAGTTACTCTGTTAGTGGTTCGTTTGTCTGCCTACCTTTGTTAGAAGACGATGGAGTACAAGATAAATGCTGTACTGACCAGTGTGACGGGTCCCCCGCCTTGTCCACTGTCCTTGGCCTTTTAACCCCCCATCCTTGAAGCCACCAGTTTTGGGAGGCCCCACGCCCTCTCCCCTGTCTGCCCGGCCACTCACTGTCTCCATTGCTCGGGCCACAGCCCCTAAAACATGCTTATTTTTCAGGATTCCATCCTCTGGGCACAAGCGCATTGTGTGCCCCTTGGTGTACAAAGGTGTGCGGGTGGTTCAGGGTGGACGTCACCTGCTCGGGTCCCAGCCAGACACAGGGCTTTGGGGACACTCGTCTGGTCAGCTGTGACGCTCCTTTGCCAGCTGATTTCTCCCGTCCCCAGGGTTAGGGGCCCTCGGCCAGCTGGGGAGGGGCCCGGTGTCCGACACAGCGCCACGTGCAGTTGAAGCGTGTGAGGACGGGAGGTGCTTAGTGAACACTGAGCTGTCGCTCAGAACCCCCAGGGCTGGGGGCGTAGTTGGAGTGGGCAGTGACTGCTCATGGGTTCAGGTCTCCTTTTGGGGTGACAGGAATGTTCCACAGGGAGAGGTGGTGGCTGCACAGCACTGTGGGTGTGCTAGCTGCCATGAACCGAACACTTCTAAATGGTTTATTTTATGTCATGTGGGTTATACCTCCATTTTTTTTAAGAAAAGGAAAAAGAAAACCTTAAAAAAAAAAACCCAACTAGTTGGGTGTGGCATGTCCAGAATAGGCCAATTGACTGAGACAGGAAGTAGCTGGAGCTGCCTCTGCTGGTGGGAAGTGCTGGGGGAAAAGGGAAGGGTGTTACTACTGGCAAAGGGAGCAGGGTTCTTTTGGAGGCAAAGATGTTCTAAAATTGATTGTGGTGATGGTTGCAGGGCTCTGTGAATACACTAAAAACCGCTGAATTTTAAATGGAAGATTGTAAAGTATGTGAGTTATATCTTGATAAAAGTTATTCTAGCCGAAACCGGTTTGGCTCAGCGGATAGAGCGTCGGCTTGTGGACTGAAAGGTCCCAGGTTCGATTCTGGTCAAGGGCATGTACCTGGGTTGCGGGCACATCCCCAGTAGGAGATGTGCAGGAGGCAGCTGATCAATGTTTCTCTCTCATCAATGTTTCTAACTCTCTATCTCTCTCCCTTCCTCTCTGTAAAAAAATCAATAAAATATATTTTTTTTAAAAAAGGGAAATTCTTTAAAAAAAAAAAAAAGTTATTCTAAAAACAAAGAAAGCCCTGCCTGTGGCATGTCCTGGAGAGAAGCACAGCACACACCACTCCAGCAGCCGTGAGCTCGGAGCCCCCGGGCTGGTTCGGGGTGAGTTGGGGGTGCGCCTTGGCTCCCGGGCGCCCTGGTGGGATCGAGCCACGTGCTGCGCTGCTTTTCCCCATCGGGACCAGCCGCATTCAGACGGCCAGTGTCTTAGCTTAGGGCGCAGAGCCTCACAGAATCTGATGAAAGGTATGCACACTCTGCTTTGGGGGTTGGGGGATGCATGTAGAGCATTTTGAGTGTAATTTCAGGGGACACATGGGCCCTCCCAAAGGCCCCCAGTTCAGAGCCCCTCCAGGGGTTACTCGGGCCTCGGTCAGCCTCCAGGTCTCCGGGCTGGGGTGTCGTGCTGCTGTAGCTGTAGCTGTCCGCTCGCTGGGTCTCAGCCCAGGACGGATGCGGGACAAGTGGCGGGAGCTGGCTCCGCAGGCCTCTGCTCCACTCACCCTGCCACCCGGTCCTTCCCCTCGTCACTGACTCTCCCACCTGCGTGTGGCCGTGGAGGCTCACGCCGGCCTCACTGGGTCTGACTTCCACCTGTTTCTCACGTGGCGACGCTGACAGCTCTCAAGATACCGACGCACCTGCCCCAGCCCACGTTTTCCATAAACTCGTGGCTGTGGCCTTCCGGAGCCGGGGCTGGAGCTCTCGGGCTTCAGGTGGGCGTGGTCCTCAGAGGCGGGTGGGTGGGGAGGGGCCAAAGGCTGCAGGAATGATTTATCCTGTTGATTTGTTATTAATGCAAATTCAGTGTTAATAACTGGTGCTTTATTAATGGCTTTGTCTCCACGAGGCTCCTGTCCCTCTTCTGTTGTAATTACAACCACAGGGTTCCCAAGGAATCTTCTAGAACAGTGGTTCTCAACCTTCCTAATGCCGCGACCCTTTAATACAGTTCCTCATGTTTTGGTGACCCCCAACCATAAAAAAATTATTTTTGTTGCTACTTAATAACTGTAATTTTGCTACTGTTATGAATCGTAATGTAAGTCTCTGATGTGCAGGATGTATTTTCATTGCTACAAATTGCACATAATTAAAGCATAGTGATTAATCACAAAAACAATATGTAATTATATATGTGTTTTCCGATGGTCTTAGGCGACCCCTGTGAAAGGGTCGTTCAACCCCCAAAGGGGTCGCGACCCACAGGTTGAGAACCGCTGTTCTAGAAGGTGGTGCTTCGCAGCTTGTGCAGGTTTAAAAAGTTTGAGGACCCCTGTTCTAGAAGGTGGTGCTTCGCAGCTTGTGCGCCCAAGGGACATGGGGTTGCAGCTGTCTTGAGTGACTGTCATCTTTTCCCAACTTCTAGAAGGGAGAACTCTGAGCAGACTCTCCTCCATGCTACATTTTGCAGGGGTTTCTCTTCAGTTTGGGGCCTGCGGCCAGGCGGTGCAGCGGGTGGCGGGCAGCGGGAGCCCTGGAGAGGAGTTTTAACGGGGACCCTGGAGCCTGGAGACCGCCGCGCGGGCAGCCTCGGCACTCGCCTCGTTTCCTGCACACATGTTCGTGCTGTGATTTACTGTGCATCCGTATGTCATACATTTGTTTTTTATAGCAAAGTTGTTCCTAGTTATTGGTGGAATTTTGAAACGAGAAAGCCTGGTCGCTCACGAGGAGCGAGGGGCCTCCGGGGTAAGCCTGTGGACTGAGGAACTTGGGTGTTGGAGGGTCAGGCTGCTCAGAGGAGCCTTGAGAGGCGACCGCTGAGGGGCAGGCTACCCCGTGTCTTGGACTGGTCGTTGTGCCTCGGTTTCCCTGGTGTCGGGAAGCAGTGCCCCCTGGAGCCAGGACACCAGGCAAGTGAGATGTAGGGACCCGTGGCATCGTCCTGCCTTGGGCACCCAGTCCAGCCTCGTTTTATGGAGGGAGGAGGGCCTCATGTGGGCCCCAGCTGGGGAGCAGAGTCCTGGGACCCCTGGGCTAGACATCTTGGGGCAGCAACATCCAGCTGACCGGCTGGCCTCCGTCACGCATCCACCTGGCGTGGGCATCACCGGGTCTGCCACTTGGTGCAACGTGTGCAGAATGTTTACTGATGTGAGAGCAAACCCATTCTGATCCCGTCCCCCGCACCCAGCCTGTGCTTGGGGACTTCATGTGCCCCCCCACCCCCCAGACATTCACGAGGTCAGTGGTGTCACTGACTCCGTGTGACCAAGGGAGAAACCGAGGCACAGACGTGTGACTTCCACTGAGCCTCTCGGCTCCTACCTGGAGGTGCCACGCCTGTGCTCCGAGTGGCGCCGTCACCCACAGTGAGGCGCTGGAGGAGCTAGGCCTGGCCTCTGGGCAGAGCCCGTGGGAGACAGACTTGCTTTCTCCCAGCATCTGGAGACCGCACTTCACGCCCACTCTCTAAGCCTGCCTCTTCCACACACGGGGTTAGTGATAGCAGCTGCTAGAAGGTGCCAGGTGATGGCTGAGCGGACGTCCCCTGGCCCCGTGCGGGTGGGGTGGGGTGGGGGTCGGAGTGGAAGGAGCGCCGGGCGAGTGTGCCGGGGACCAGCTGCAGTCCCAGCGCGGCCTCCTGGGAACACCTTCCCCCGCTCTCGGCTCACCTGGGCCTCCTTCTCAGGGGGAGCCGGGGGTGGCAGTGCCACCTGCTGGGATGAGTGATGGGCAGCCTGTGCACAGGATAGTGGGCGTCTGGACGTGTCTGGAGAGTCCTTCCTAGCGATTCGGCTCCTCCCTGGGCCTGGAGCCAAGCCTGGGGCTGGAGGAGTGTTTTGTTCCTTATGCCCTTGACCTTCTGAGTGCTGGTGGGTCCACCATCAAGCCTGCCTGTTCCTGCTCAAAAGCCTGGCTGCCCACTCACCCCTTGGGTGTGGCGGGGTGCACCTGCCCCCCAAACTGCTCATTTGTCAGGTCAACATTGGTTAAGCACCTGCTCGCTCCTGGAGACTCAGAGATGAGTCAGCCGGTCTCGGCTTCAGTCTGGGACGACCCAGGGAGGAGGGACACTCCTGCTGCAGGACCTGAGCTCATCTAGGACCCAGGCCCCGCACAGGGGTGGTGTGCCCTGTGCCCAACTGAGCTGGTCTGGTTGGTGCCCAGGGATGTTCGCTGAATGAATGAAGGAACAAGAGACCCGCAAGTCTGAGGGCACATACCCCAGGGCCTGGTCTGGTTGGTGCCCAGGGATGTTCGCTGAATGAAGGAACGAGAGACCCGCAAGTCTGAGGGCACATACCCCAGGGTGCCCAGCATCCTGTCCTGGCCCAGCCCCTCTGCCTCCTGTGCCCTCACTGCCCTTCCTGCCTCTCCCCCAGGACCTCCCACTCCCGGGCCAAGGCCGAAGCAGCCCTCACTGCGGCTCAGAAGGCCCAGGAGGAAGCACGGATCGCCAGGATCACTGCCAAAGAGTTCTCACCTTCCTTCCAGCACAGGGAAAACGGTGAGTCGGGCGCCAGGCGGGTGGGGCAGGGTGTCCTCCAAGGCCACGTTCCAGCAGGTGCTGCCCACTGCCGTCTCCCCTCGTGTTCACCCTCCTTCACGATGATGTGTGTCCCTGCAAGGGCCTTGGCACACTCCTCCCTCACACGTGTCAGCACCTCTCCCTGCCTCCGGGGCTGTGTCCCTGTGTGCACGCGTTTCCATGCATCACCCTCTGCTTTCCATGATGGTGAATGTCTCTGTGCTCTGCGTGTGCATGTGGTCTCTCCCTGCCCTTCCCCCAATGTTATGCTAGAACTTCCTGTGACAAACCAACTATTCTATAACTGCTCTGTTCAAAAAGGTAGTGAGTGGCCATGTGGGGACTGCGGCTAGTTGGCTGAGGCCCTGGTCATTAGTTGCGTTTGATCAGAACTGATCTGCATTTAACTGTAGAGAGCCACGCGTGCCTGCTGGCGGCCACACTGGGCAGAGTGGCTCATTAACTGAGGGGAGCTGCCGCCATGTCCTTTGGTGGGAGTTGGAGGAGCTAGAAACCACTGCAGGTAGCAGATCTGTGACCCTCGTCCTGTCTGGGGGCCAGGCCTGAGGGAGGCAGAGAGGGCTGGAGAAGGCGGGCATTGCTGAGAGAGGGCAGACAGCCCCCTGTCTCCGCTCACTTCCCTCTGGCCTCACCCCGGCGCTTCCTCTGCAGCAGGAAGCCCTGGAGGACAGGTTTGTGGGAATAGAAGCCGCCGGAGGTTTTAGGCTGACATCTGCCATGCGCAGTCTATCCTGAGCGCTCACCCGAGCTCTCCTGGAGCCGGAGCTCCTGGCCTCACCGGGAGGGTCCCGGCCTTTGGGGCAGTGAGGGAGGCCGCCCGCTTCTGGGAGGCAGGAGGACCCAAGATAAGGGACAAAGGTGTTGGAATCCAGCCACACATGTTCTGCTTTGCATTTTCACAAGGATGCTTCCAGGAATGTCACGTGCTCTGCAACTAATTTTAGCGGAGCAGTCTCCAGGCTGGTGGCGCTGACAGGGCGCTGGAGCTGAGCATGAGGGCACCACTCTGGGGCGTGGGGTTCACGAGACCCTGCAGGGTCGCTGTCCAGGCTTGTCTGGGGCCCTAGGGTGTAAGGCACAGGGGCCTGGGCCCCAGAAAGTCCAGATTACAGTCGGGCAGGTCAGGGGAGGGTCATGGGAGTCCTGTGATGGGGCCAGGGCGCCCCACCCCAGGGAGGGCAGTTCTCCATGTGGTCCCTCAGACACCCCCTGGCCTGTTTCCCTCTCTGTGCTGGGGACTGGGGAAGAGGGGGACCACCCGTGCCCCCATCCCATGGCTGCAGAGGTGTGGGAGACTACACCCCATATGACAAATGGGTGCAGATGCAGGGGGACTGACTGCCCCAAGTCCCAGCACCTGTATCCCCAGTACATCCAGGACCACATGGGACACCCCTTGGCGGCCTTCGCCCTTTGAAACACCCCAGGGACTGTTCATGGGCGTCTACAGCTCTGCCTTGTTCTGGTCACCACCTCAGGCCCCCATGCATGCTAACAGCATGGTGGATGCCTCCTCATAGACGGGGCGCCCGGCCCCTGCTGAGAATCCTGGCCACACCGAGGGTGCCGTCCCCTAAGGCCTTCTCCTGCCCTGGCTCAGAGGCTCCAGTATGGAAGCAGGGAGGGGAGCCCAAGCAGAGGGTGGGGCAGGAAGAAGAGGCCACCGGAGGCCTAGGCCACCGGAGAGGTCCGTGTCCTGGGCAGACAGGCCCCCCTCCCCAGGCTACAAGACCTCGAAGGTCACCTAGCAGGAGATGCTTCCTTTCATCCTCAGGAGACCCCCAGAGTAGGCGGGGCCCCAGTCCTTGCACACTGAGCCTTGGTCTGCCTGCAGCCCGGGCTGGGCCAGAGCTGCTCCCCACCACTGCCTGTCGGGACCTGGTCATCCTCAAAGCACCTGTGGGAGGCGGCTTGGGGGCCATGGAGGGGCTTTGGGAACCACTGTGTCCCAGCCTGTGCTGCTGTCCTCGGGCTGAGTAACCAGCCTGTGTGCTGCCCGCTCCTCCTCCGTACAGGGCTCGAGTACCAGCGGCCGAAGCGGCAGGCTTCCAGCGACGACATCGAGGTGATCTCTATGGGGACGCCCATGCAGCAGGAGAGCCCGGAGCTGTACCGCAAGGGCACCACCCCCTCGGACCTGACCCCCGATGACAGCCCCCTGCAGAGCTTCCCTGCCAGCCCCTCGGCCACCCCCCCACCAGCCCCTGCCTCCAGGAACAAGGTCGCCCACTTCTCGCGACAGGTGTCGGTGGACGAGGAGCGGGGCGGGGACATCCAGATGCTCCTGGAGGGCAGAGGAGGGGACTACGGCCGCCACAGCTGGGGCGAGGAGAAGGCCGGGGCCTCCAGAGGGGTCCGCAGCGGAACCCTCCGCAGTGGCCAGCCCGCGGAGGACTTTCGCACCCGGGGCTCGGGCCACAAGCAGCCCGGGAACCCCAAGCCCCGGGAGCGGCGGACGGAGTCGCCCCCTGCCTTCTGGACTTCCCACCCTCGGGCCAGCAACCCCAGCTCAGGGGGCGCCAAGCTGCTGGAGCTGGACGAGGAAAAGCTGAGCAACTATGAGATGGAAATGAAGCCCCTGCTGAGGGTGGACTCCCACGGGCAGGAGGCCTACCCCCAGAAGAGACGCTACAGTAGGGGGGCTGCCTGCCGGGGCCTGGGCGAGGACCGGGGCTTTGGGGCGCAGAGACTGAGATCCAAGTCCCAGAACAAGGAGAACGTCC